GCACAAATGAGAGAGACATATATAATAATAGAAATAACAGTATGTGTGCTTTATTTTTGATCATTTCAGAACAATTGAAAAAAAAAAAGAAAATTTTAGAGAGAATAAGAGACAGATAATGACTGAAAAAAGCTAATGGAATCAAATATTTTGTTTTCCTATAACTTTTCTCTAATTTCAAAATTTTTTTTTTCATATTTGGAAAGACGATCAGATGAAAACGAAAACAAAGGAGATAAAGTTCACTGGCGAATAGCAGCGAAAATGCACTGAATTTTGGAAGGATTATTTGAATGAGGCGACAGCAGAAAAAAAATATATATACAATGACACGCACACACACACACAAAACGCACGACTGCGTATGTTAATAGTTGTATATAACTGTAATGTGAAATGACTGATGAAGAAGAGAGAGAGAGAGAGAAAAAAAATGAATGCGCATAAATGTACAATAGGGTAAAGATGGAGAATGCGTAAAACTCGATATCTCACGCATGTTCAAACAAGCACCCAAAAACGCAGAAAAGAAACAGAGACAAACACACACCGGAACAAAGAGAGAGAGAGAGAGAGAAAGGGTGGGAGTAAGAAATAGAACAAAAACAACTCAACAATTTGGCTTCTCATGTTTTTTTTTCGTTTGCTAATTATTTATCTATATGTATGATTAATCGTTTTTTTTTAAAGTTTTTTTTAAATATATATATATATTTTTATGTCGAAAGAACAAGAAATATCTGAGTTATTATTTTAGACAGCAAAAGAAAAGAAAAGAAAATGAGCATTCAAAACAAAGAGAGAGAGAAAGGAAAATGTGTTTGTATTAATATATTTTTTTTTGTTTCGTTTCTTACGAGACGAAAGGCTATGTATGTGTACTTTTCGCAAATGTTTTTTTGGCTTATAATGGAAAAGAACTAGAGGGGGGGGGCAAAAAAAAATCTATTCACTGTTTTGACTGAAGAACCTTCAATCCCTGATGATAATGATGCTGATAAATGGGACAAATAGATAAACGTATGTTACTGGAAGCGAGATAAACAAACACCGGAGCTGGTCAGCATGGGAAATAAAAGAGAAAAAAAAACAAAAAAAACACAAGAGGACTAGCACACAACGATAAGATAGAATACAGTGCGTATGTTTGTTCGCAGCATCACTGTAAACAAATTGTTTTTTTCATCAGAGGATGTACACATGCACAATTATATTTCGTCGATATTTGTTTTATTGTCATGAGATCCATTGATCTAGTCGTTGCATTTCACTGTTGTGAAGAAAAAAAGAAAAGAAAAAGAAACAACAACAACAAACATTAGTTTTGTGCATTCAATAAAAGCAGAAGAAGAAGAAGAAGAAAATTATTGCGCAATCAAAAAAAAAGAATCAAGAGACGACATCAGACATTTGTGCACAAAAAAAACTAGCAAACAAGGTTTATATTCATATATATATATATATATCTAAAGTCAACATTATCATTTCGATAGACAATGGAAGGAACTCGAGAGACCCAACGCGTCATTCGAAGGACGGACAACACATCCTATCATCAGAAGTGTAGATAATAATACAGCAGCACATGAAATAAGAAAGAAAAATGTTTTTGTTTTGCTGTTCATACAAGAGAATCGAATAATTTTTTGTTTTTGGTATGGAAGAAGCTTTCTCACACGCTCTATTATTGCAAAGACCCACACACACAAACACACACATACGGCTAACTACTATTAGAAAAACAGAAGAAATTATAATAGAATAAATCACAGGAAAAAAACAGAAGTGCGCATATTTTTTTTGTCGATGAGAAAGAGAAAAAAAAGAAAAAGGGGATGAGATACGTTTGACTGACTTTGTAATTTTTCTTCTTTTATTTTATTTTTGTCTTAATTTTATTGCCACGGGATTGGTTGTTGGGAATTATTTCCCCACATATTATTATCAAAAGATATTTTTGATTGAAATGGATTATATTCAATATCTTGATCATTATTATTACCACCACCACCGCCGCCGCCGCCGCCGCCGCCGCCACCCATTGACATTGATGAAAAAGCTTGAAAAAAATTTGATTTATCTGGAATGTTAAAATTTGTATTCATATTATTCATATTATTATTTGTTATTGGTCGAACAATTGTTGAACCCGATGAAGATGATGATGATGATGATGGTGGTGGTGAAGCAAAACCATTATTAAACATCGAAGGATTTCTATATGGATGATTTGGATTTGTTGAGCGTTGACCAACAATTTTTCGTGGTGGAATACCAGAGAATTGCATTGGTGGTGGTGGTCCTTGTTGTTGTTGTTGTTGTTGAGGAAAAGGTTTAGCCGGTGGTGGAGCTGATTGTTGCATAAAATGTTGTTGATTAAATTTTTGTTGTGTAGGTCGATTATTATTATTGATTTGTTGAGCAGATGGAATATCATATGTTATCATTTCCGATATACGATCAAGATTCCACCAAAAATCTTTACTTAAACGTGTTATCCATGCACTATCATCACGTAATAAATATCGTTCTAAAATAAAAAAAAACATATTTTTTCGTTTTAAAATGATAATTAATTTTATTTTCATACCAGCATTCTCAAATACACTCCAGTCAACATCTGGATCGCTACCAATTGGTGGCGATGTCGATTGATTTGATGTAAACATATCAGATGAATATGCGCCACCAAAATCACCGAAACCTAAAAACAAAATTAAAATTTTTCATAAAAGAAATTTAATTATGATTATTTTTACCAGAAGAAGGTTGATCCATGGTCATCATCATGTTTCTTTCTTTTTTGATTTAAACAAAAACAAAAAAAAACGGATACTCGTTATCACACGAGTAATTTCGTCGATCACAGAGTAAAGACTACTGTTTTGTTTTGAACAAATGTGAAAGACAAATAGCAAATGTATAGTCTCTCTGTCGTCTTATTATATTATTATAATTATTAAAACTTTATTTGTATTGTCAGATGTATAAAATGAATAGAGATCAATCGACAAGCATGGACACAACGAAATGTAAAGCAAAAATGATGATCTAGAACAATAAAAAGTCATATGGATGATGGCATTGCCCGTCAGAATTGTCAAAAAATCGACGATGACGATAGTTTAGTTTTTTTTTTCTTTCTCCTTTGACTTATTGAGCGCTTGCCCGAACACATGTATCGTCCGTTTTGCCCTCTTGCAACATGACTACTATGCCCGTTCGTCGAATGAATAAGAGAGAGAGAGAGAAAAGCGTACGGCATACAAAAGAGAAAAGAAAAAAAA